GTATCTCAGCTGTACATTTATTTCCAGTGCTCTGCATTGTTCTTTGGATAGTGGTAGCACTTTCAGTTGTTACATACCTCAGTGTATATTAGTGGAATAGTCTTCATTTTCCTTAAGGTCATGGAGAAGGGTGTGGCTTGACCATGTCTAATAGGGGGTACTTTCTCGCTTTCCATTCCCACCCTCCAGTGTACATGCTCTTTAGCAAATTAAAAAACAAAACAAAACAAAACAACAACAACAAACATGGTTTATTTTGTCATTCAGTGCTGTTAAGTGCTCTTATCTGTAAGAACTGTTTCTTAATTATATGTGATTTTAGTTTGATAAAATATAATGATTACACTCCCACAACTGTTATCATGATCTAAAAAGTTAACTGTGAAGACGGGAAATAACTTTAAATTTTTTCTTTACTCATGATAGTGTGCATATGTGCCTATGAGACATTGACAGAGAGAGAGAGGGAGGGAAGGAGAGAGGAGCACCCTCCACAGTGTCTGGTCATGCCACAATCTCCTCCCCCGGCCCTTTAGCCCATGGGATCTTAGGCGCTTGCTTAGGCGCTTACCCTGTGCCAGATTATTTTATGCTTAGGCGCTTGCTTGTGTGTTTCAGGCTGGCTGGGTTAGGAATTCGAACTCAGGTCACCATGTGGGATCTGGTCTTTTGTGCAGTACATGACCACTGCTCCACTGAGCTGGCCCAGAAAGTAATTTATAGTTAGGTGGACACGGTACCATGCCTGTGAATTGGGTGTTGTAAACTTTTGCTTTCATAATTTCCCTTTCTTGAATTAGATATTTTATATACTTTTTTTTGGGGGGGGGGAGGTTTTTTGCTATAGGGCGCATGCGCTTGACAGACAGACAGAGGGAGGCAGAGAGACAGAAAGCGAGAAATCACCCCCCAGGGGGATGGCCACGCAGCAATCCCTTCTCCTCTATTCTCCTCTTGGGATCTTGGGCACACACGCACACACGCCCGGTGTGAGTTTAAGCCACTGGGTCCAGGATTCGAACCTTGGTCGACTACGTGGGAGTCCAGCGACATAGCCATTATGCTAACTGCTGGTTCCCCAATATTTTATATTTTTTTAATTGCCAGAGGTCGTGTGTACTTCTGGGAGGTGAGGGGAGTGGGAGCAAGCACTCTCAGGGGTGTGTGGTCACACCGCAGTCCTCCATGTCTCCATCCTGTTGGGATTTAGGGGGCATCTCTGCACATGTGCCTCATGGCTGGGACTTGGGCTGGGACTTGAACCACGGTTTGCCATGTAAGTTCTAGCTCTTTTAGCCAGTAGACCGTGGGGCAGGCCCTAGATGTTTTAATTTCTAAAGATACTAGCCTTATGTAAGATGTCAGTTATTCATATTTTTAACAGGCAGTCAATATGGTCAATATGGTATAGTGCTGGACAAATCAAAATCCTAGAGCTCTGGGATTTTACTTTTGAAAGGGACTTTAAGAGCCATCTAATCCAAAAGTTCTTATTTTGCAGCTGAGCTGGGGACCTTTGCCAAAGTCATTGCCAAGGACCTTTTCATTAAAAAAAAGTTTACTTCCGTAGAGGTCTGTTTGCTTTGGTTAAAGTGTTTGTTTACAAACTTCACTATGTAATGTTGTTAGCTGAAGTAACTAAATTTGGAGTATACATTTGGTAGTTGTAGTAAGCTTATTTATTTAATTCAAACAAGCATTTACTCTGTGCCAGATTATTTTATGCTGAACATAAATTAACTCTTTTCATCCTCACACCACTAACATAACAATACCAAATATAAAGTAGGTGCTGTTATATTTATAGGCATAAATGAGATTCAGTAGCTTGCCCAAGTCACAAATATTAGGTGGCAGGACTGGGATTTGAGCTTGTGCAGTCTGGCTCCAGAGTTCATCACAGCTCTGCTGCCCATCTCCTGGGAGTTGTATAAAGGATATCACTGCACTCTGGTACAGCCTGTGGTTGTCCTTGGTGTTAACTCACAGCACCCTCATTATAAAAGGATACATCTCCCCTTCACTGTGTTCTTTTGTCCTCTTATCATCAGAACAAATGTCAAAACTAACTTTGGACCAGTGGTAAGAATGTATCAGGATTATCAAGTTTTATTTATCTGAGGTCCATAAAAAATAATAAAGTTTATTTCACATAACATTTTGTTTTATCTTTTTTCCTTAAAGACCATTTCTGTGCAGATTAATTTTTATTTCAGTTGTCACTAGAGTTTTCTGATTTGCAGTTTGGGGATTGGTTGCGTGCCTGTTATAGAGTGCTTTAACTTGACAATAATGTTCCTTTCCTTGAATTGAAAGATATAGGTGAGGATAGAATGTAACTGGTTTAAATAGCAGCTTACTCTTTGTAAATTTCTTTTCTGAATGATATAGACAGTACTGTTCATTTGTTTCACTTACTTGTGATTCAGCATACCTTTGAATGCCTACCATGAACAGTTCATGCAGGCTTTAGGTCCTGTGGAGGATTAAGGCAGACAGAACAGAGATAGGAAAGAAAAGTTTTTGAAACCCTCCTCCTCCTTTATTTAACATTCACTATTTCAAAAAAATGTTTGAGCATTGTGAATCTTTGAGGAACAATTAGGTGTTTTTTGGGAAAAGCTTATTATTATTTGAGATTGTGATGGTTCATTTAAAATATCTTTATATTCTGAGTCTTGGAATGATTGAATTCCTTTCAGGAATAATTTTCACCTTAATTTCAAACTTCTGGATTCATTTTACACCTAGAATAATTTACCTAAAATATATATATATTGAGTGTATGTGTGTGTTGCATGTATGTTAGTCAGAAATGTTTCACATGTGTTTGCCAGTGATAAGGGAAGGGGGGAGAAAGACCTCCCTGCCCCCATGGGGCAGGGGTACGTTGCAGTCTCTGCTCCTCCATTTTTGGGCATGCATGCATGTGCACTTTTTTTTTTTAATTATTTAATTTTATTCACCATCATTATTATTATTTTTAAAATTTGACCAAAGAGAGACAGAGAAAGG